GGGGGGGGGGGGGGGGGGGGGGGGGGGGTGTTAACAGTATAAATTGACTGGCACATTAGAGCAAGAATATTTGGGGTTAAATAAATTTCCCCAACAGCAAATGTTCTTATTTTAATGTAAAATTTGAGCAAATAGACTTCGGACTGCCAACGCATATCTACAAACAGAAGAACTCTCTTTAATATAAAGCAAAATATGCCTCACTGCGTTTGACTGCGACGCCATTTTTTTCAGTAGATATCAATAGGGCGGCAAAAAATTAAAAGTTTTCTGATAGGTAGAACGAAAGCATGATAACTGATACTCATTCGTCTAAAAAAGACAACAACACTTCGATATTTCGAGTGAAATCCTTCATGAAAATACGGACAAAAATAACTACACATCCACAGCCATTTCGACGACTAATTTTCATCGAAATTCAACTCGTGTCCAAGTTCTTTCAACCAACCTTGTTCAACGGCGCCATATTTTTCAAAAGCATCGCGCAGATCGTCTTCTGTCGCATTAAAAGAAAGGTTCCCAACATGTACCTTGCGCGGCTCACTCATATTTTGTGAAATATTTTCGTTTATAAAAAATCAGCTTCGAATCGAGTAATCAACTAAACGTACCCTTCCACCGCGAAAAAGGACGCGATGTCACGTGGTCAGATCAAGCGCCAAAAACAGCTTAAACAGGTTTTCAAAACCGGTTTTCCGAATCAGGATTCAATGTTTCCACTTCTATGGAAATTTTCATATTACCATTAATACCATTAATTACCATTTTTGTGGAACTGGAAAAATAAATGAAATTGTACTAAAATATGTGTTAAAAGAGGCCAGTGAAAAGTTACATATAATATTACACATAATATGGACCTAGTGCTTCCTAGATCTGTCTACATTTGTGCTCTATAGGTTTTTATCAATCTTATCCTTTCTTATCCCAAGTTTAAAATTTGCCCCACGCCCTTCCCAAATTTCAAGCTTTGAAACATGTTACATGCGTGGGACAAATGAGATATTTTGGGATAGCATTGGTAATTTAATAAAGTTAGTTTAGTTTAGGTTTCCTCCCGTAGTAACACTGGATCGATAAGAGATGATCCTTACTGGACCTCTAGGAAGAACAGTTTAGAACTGATAGAGCTATCCAGTATAAATGAAGTCAGTTCAGTTTAGGTTTCCTCCTGTAGTAACACTGGATCGATAAGAGATGATCCTTACTGGACCTCTAGGAAGAACAGTTTAGAACTGATAGAGCTATCCAGTATAAATGAAGTCAGTTCAGTTTAGGTTTCCTCCTGTAGTAACACTGGATCGATAAGAGATGATCCTTACTGGACCTCTAGGAAAACAGTTTAGAACTGATAGAGCTATCCAGTATAAATGAAGTCAGTTCAGTTTAGGTTTCCTCCTGTAGTAACACTGGATCAATAAGAGATGATCCTTCAGTTTAGGTTTCCTCCTGTAGTAACACTGGATCAATGAGAGATGATCCTTACTGGACCTTTGGACGGAAGTGTATAGGCGTGGTGTTATTGAATGGCATGGGGGATTGACGATGATTGTTTTTGGAGACCTTGGTCAAAGTAACTGTGAATTAAATATATGTATTAAAAAATTTAAAGATATAACATCTAGGAAGAACAGTTTAGAACTGATAGAGTTTCCCAGAAACTCACCTGTCTAGCCGTTACTTCGTGAAGAGTGTTCATAATTTTCTGTAAACAAAAAGGACAAAGTGTTAGGATTTTCTCCAATCTGGTACCCAGGCTCTTTTCTCTACGCTACTCACTGAAGGAAAGACCCTGGTCCCAAGTTTCCCAAATTTTGGGAGATATGAAAAACTTTACATAAGGGTGGGAGCTAAGTTTGTTTTACTGATCTAATTGCCAATATCAATTCGATAAAGTTCAGAGTGGGTGCGACTTTGTGAATAGCAAGTTGCAAAATCAAAGAGTGGATGGCTTCAAAACAAACAGTCAATAAAGTAAATAGAACTTTGTACTGTATATGCATTCTTTGTGGATTGCATTTGCAACGACGCACGGTGCAACAGCACAGCTAGCCATGGCAACTGGTCATGCAATGCTAATAAACCTGCATCTACATGGGCTAAAGACAATACATTTGTAAAGGTTTGAATAATGAAAATCATTAAAAATTTGCATATCATGACCTGTTGCTATGGCTAGCTTCGCCACTGACAAGGTCTGCATAAAATACTGGAGTCTTTCAGTTTCATATTGGGCAAAACCGCAAAGAAGTACCAGGAAAGGATTTGTAATATACTCGAGGACAAGCCAAGAACATTTGCCCAACAGCGAGCCTGTTTGTAGATTGCTGTAAATAACGCGACATATGATATGGCGTATGCGTAACAGTAAGAAGCTGGCACTGAAGGAGAAAACCTAAACTAACTTTATTTACAGTGAATAGCTCCAATTGTTCTTCCTTGAGATCCAGAGGACACAAAATTAGCCGACGATGTTTTGAAGAAACTGGAAGGTTGCGGATCAGAAACTACCTACAGTTTCACAAAGCCGCATCTTACTTAATCCTTGTCCATTGTTTGTGTTTCGGACTAGAAGTCAATTGACCCCAGCTTAGGGCCTTCTCTTCGTATTTCAGTGCGTTTTCACGTGAGAAGATTGGAACTGAGGCAATCCTCGTGACGTCATTGAAGTCGATTAACCTGCAAATCAAGTGCCGCCTGCCGTGTGAAGGCCCTAGGTCCAGGCTTCTTTGTTCGGACTTCAACTCAAATTGGAACAAGACGTTATTTCAGACTTTGAACATAAGACTAGCAGTCAAAGCAGAACACATTGTAGTCGAGCACAACAGTAGATCACTTGACGAGGACAGAACAAGTTTTAACTGGTTTTACCGGTTTTATCCAATTCAACAGATTACAGTTTTATCCTTAATTCGGCAAGTTCACATATGAAATCACAACGGGAGTTCATGTTGACATATTAGCCGACTGACATGCGAATTAGTCATTCAATACAAGTAAATTAACTTTTCTTAATTCATTTCAATAGCTTGTAGAAAATATTATGAAACAAGTTCAAGTAGCTTTCACACTGGTTAGGTAGTTCTGATAACCACTCAATACAGGATTCAAACCGGTTTTGTGGTTTAGCAAGCAAGTTCATACAAGATTGAAACTGGTTTTGTCGAACAGGTTTCAAACTGGTTTTGTGGACTCTGACATGAGGTACTGTTGGCTGTAGTGAATCACAGAAGACGGTAACGGGTAAGTAAATAATTTTTAATCGGACAACATTGACATTACGTAATGAGCTAAAAATAAAGTTGACATCATTGCTCTGGTCTTCTCTCGATTGACAAGATCACCTAAATAGTTCAACTGGCCATGAGTCTTTGATGGAACGACCAGTGTCATAATTGATACATAACAAGTGTTGAGAGTTTCATAGAATGCAATTTGATCACAGATATTTCGAGGAGCCGGTCATCGTGTGCCTTTATTGTACGAGAACAGAATAAACATTGTATCAAGATCGAGTAACAGAACACAAAAAGTATCGATGGTATCAACTAAACGAGGGTTACAAAACAAATGTTATATATTTTCACTTGCTAATGACCACTGATAAAGACGCTTGACTGGAGTGTTGAAACATTGGATGGTGAATTCATTTCAACTTACAAAAACCAATGTGGCGAGCGAAAACATGACGGATATACTTCGTTGCCGTGAACTAGCAAACTTTAAATGTTATAGAACTCTTATTTTTGCAAGCAAATGTTCAAAAGTCAACAACATGTTTGCTCAACAAAATACTACATCCAATACTTTAAAGGAATCAGTGTGAATTTGAAACAAAGATCGTCCTATTTTGTTTTTTTAAAACATTTGTAATCCAGCATTGTTTCCGTTCTAAAAAGTTCACTTTTTGACAAGCGAAATGACATATTATACCTTGCAACGCCAACATAAACAAACAAACACTTTTTAGCTCTCGCTCTAACCCTAATTACAGACTTTCCATCAAAGTTAACACATTGATTGTCTTTGTTCTTCTGAAATAACTCTAATCAGCGCTTGACAAAGCTTGATATGGCATTTAAATATACAAACGTAAACATGATATCTATAATACCGAAAAATATCGATATTCCGATATCGAAAACTTCAATAGTGAATAATCGGTATTTATTAAAAAAACAATAATTGTCAATATATCGATATACTGCAACAGCCTACTCAGTGGTATCAATTTTGACTTACCTATTAATAGCTGTCATATCTGCTACCACCACCAGATCTGCCACCATAACCACCACCACCACCACTACTATAACGATCACCACCAGATCTTTGACCATAACTACCTCCACCACCACCACCATAACGGCCACCACCGCCACCACTATAACCTCGACCACGACCGCCACCATAACCGCGTCCACCACCACGTCCACCATAGGAACTCCGTCCACCACCACCACCATCGCTACGTGGCCTTGATTCGCTCACTCTGATTGTGCGTCCGTCCACTTCCTGAAAAGATGATACAAAGATTACAAACTTCAATACGCGCCAGCTTATGGAGGTCCAAAAACATCAGAAAATTGAGATAGACGAAACTACCCAAAAAATACAGGGTTCGAATTAGACAGGACAAATCAATTCGCAAATTTCCTTCTTGAAAATTTGAAGGAAATTTCAGTTTCGAAAAGTGGAAACACTTCTTGCAAAAAACAAAATGGCTGTCGTTTCATTGGCGAATTTCGTAAATTTTCTGAAGAAATTGTAGCCATATTCTTCATATTTCACATCTTTTTAGTACAAAATTACAATAATAGTCAGCAAAATACTCCATATCTTCCATTATAGTAAAATACATTCGAAGTCATTGTGAAAATCAACCTTTTATGTAAACCTTAACACATTGTTTTTGCAAAATGCCATTCGCAAATTGTATATAGCGAGCCGCTAATTCGAACCCTGAAACACAAGTAAAACTTCGACATTCAACTCTGTACAAACTGCGACAACAACATCAGTGGTGTAACTTTACTTTTTTACCAGTTCGACATGAAAATTAGTTGCCCTGAATAAAATTCACTTGCCATCAGACAACGGCCACAATGGTAGGGGGTATAAATTAAGGGGACTTAAAGATGCCCAGCTTTTTGTGGCAAGGCAACCTGCCCAATCATGATAATCACTTGCCCATCATGATAATCACTTGCCCATCATGATATTCACTTGCCCAGGGTCTGCTTGGGTGAGCAGGCAAGTGTTAAGTTACACCTCTGAACATGACAAAGGTAGACAAATAGGGAAATTCAAAAATGACATACAGTGTTGTCGAGGCCGTCAATCGCAGCTTTTGCATCTTCCTGTTCTTCAAAAATCACAAATGCAAATCCACGAGGTCGCCCAGTATCTCTGTCTGTTACCACAATCACTATCAAAGACAAGAATTATAGAATGTCATATTGACTGTATACTTCGTAAAGGCCCGATTCCACGTGACTGGAAAGTTTGGAAATTGCACGCCGGAGATTTCGAAAATTTAATAGTAAATATATAGAAAGCATCAAAATTGCGCGCCGGAGATATCCGCCACACAATACAAACTTTCCACACGGGCGATTCCACAGGGGCCATTCCATTTAATATACACCTCCCCCCCCCCATGGACGAGTTCAATAAAATTTGAACCCTTAAGAAAAAAAGATCAAAGTGCCAACACAAACACCCCCCAGAAATTGAGAAATATTTGCCTTACCCCTCAGAAAAAATGCCAAGATCAAAGGATGCCAATGCACACCACCCCTCAAAAATGGCTTTTTCAAACCCCCTCAGAAATTCTCGTCCATAGGGGTATATTAAATGGAATGGCCCCAGGCGCTTTCTTTGGGGGGGGGAACTCGCACAAAATAGGTGCATACACGGTAAAGGTAAATCAGGCTTCACAATGTTCGGACATAATCAGGGTGAGAGCTTATGTTTACTGCACATGCACCCAATATTTCGAATTTTGCAAAAAAAAGGTGCCATGGTATCAGGCTTTCAAAGTTAGAGCAAGAATATTTGGGGTTAAATAAATTTCCCCAAATACTGTCAATAGCAAATGTTTTTATTTTAATGTAAAATTTAAGCGAATAGACTTCTGACTGCCAAGGCATATCTACAAACAGAAGAACTCTCTTAATATAAATCAAAATATGCCTCAAAAACTGCGACGCCATTTTTTTCAGCAGACATCAATATAAAATAGGGCGGCAAAAAAATTTAATAATTTTCTGATAGAAAGAAAGCATGATCGCCGATACTCGTTCGTCTAAAAAAGACAAACACACTTCGGTATTTCGAGCGAAATCATTCATGAAAACACGGACAAAACTCACTACAGGCTACAGGCTACAGCTATTTCAACGACAATTCAACGATTCCATTTTCGTCGAAATTCAACATGTCTATTAATTTCTTTCAACCAACCTTTTTCAACGCGGCCATATTTTTCAAAAACTTCGCGCAGATCCTCTTCTGTCGCATTAAAAGAAACGTTCCCAACATGTACCTTGCACGGTTCGCCCATATTTTGTGAAATATTTTCGTTAAAAAATCAGCTTCGAATCAACTATAAACCTCTTCCACAGCGAAGCAAGCTAAAAGGACGCGTGGAATATGTCACGTGGTCATGCATCAACCGCCAAAAACAGGTTTTCAAAACTGGTTTTTAAAACCGGTTTTCCTGCCTCGTGCCAACCTCGTTCCCAGGTTCTTGCCCTCGTGCGTGGCCTTTGCGTGGGCCGCGTGGATTAATTTGATCGAATCAAATCGTATACAAGACACTGGCTCATTTCACCGAATTTCACCGGGCTTTAAATCCTCTATAAATTGTTTAAATCTGTTAAACGGGGTAAAATAAGTAAGAATATACCATTTGCTATTATCCCGGGCGAAAATGTATGGAAAAAATCATAAAACGTATTTCAAAATATTGCTTAATGCCATTATTCATTTCAAAATATTGCGTAATGGATTAAGAATCTTAACCTTTATTCGGTGACACCAAACAATATTTTGAAATACGTTTCATAAGATCACTACACACATAAAAACGCACAAGTTGTTACAAGCCTGCAAACAAGTTGTTCCAAATCTGTTCACAAGCTGTCAACAAGTTGTCTTCGCAATGCTTGTTCCCAGTTGTTGTAACAAGTTTGGAACAAGCTGTTAACAACTTGTAAAAAGCTTAATGGCATTATCAGACTTGTGACAAGGTTGTTCTAACAAGTCTGATACAGTCATGATAAACAAGAATGTTACAAGGTTGATGACAGTCACGACACAAGGTTGTAACAATACTGCTATATCATGACCGTATCGAACTTGTTGGAACAACCTTGTAACAAGTCTGATAATATCAACAAGGTTGTTACAGATTGTTAACAGCTTGTTCCAAACTTGTTCCAAACTTGTTGACAACTTGGGACAAGCAGTGCGAAGACAACTTGTTGACGGCTTGTTGACAAACTTGCTACAAGATGCGAGATTTTTGCGAGATTTCGAGATTTCGGCTATGATCAGTTTGCTATCTTGAACACGTGGTCCAGTGATGTTTTTGTGATGTTACTCTGAGTGTGCATCCACACCGGGCAGGCTGAAAAGTTTGGTGATATTTCGAAAGGTGATATTTCGGAAATTAATTATTAATTATTTATTAATAATTTACAACACTGGATCAATAAGAGATAATTCTTACTGAACCTCTAGGAAGAACAGTTTAGACCTGATAGAGCCGCTATCCTGTATAAATAAAGTTAGTTTAGTTTAGGTTTCCTCCAGTAGTAACACTGGATCAATAAGAGATGATCCTTACTGGACCTCTAGGAAGAACAGTTTAGAACTGATAGAGCTATCCAGTATAAATAACGTTAGTTTAGTTCAGGTTTCCTCCTGTAGTAACACTGGATCAATAAGGGATTATCATTACTGAACCTCTAGGAAGAACAGTTTAGAACTGATAGAGCTATCCAGTATAAATAAAGTTATTTTAGTTTAGGTTTCCTCCTACAGTAACACTGGATCAACAAGAGATGATTCTTACTGGACCTCTAGGAAGAACAGTTTAGAACTGATAGAGCCGCTATCCTGTATAAATAAAGTTAGTTTAGTTTAGGTTTCCTCCAGTAGTAACACTGGATCAATAAGAGATGATCCTTACTGGACCTCTAGGAAGAACAGTTTAGAACTGATAGAGCTATCCAGTATAAATAAAGTTAGTTTAGTTTAGGTTTCCTCCTGTAGTAACACTGGATCAATAAGGGATTATCATTACTGAACCTCTAGGAAGAACAGTTTAGAACTGATAGAGCTATCCAGTATAAATAAAGTTATTTTAGTTTAGGTTTCCTCCTACAGTAACACTGGATCAACAAGAGATGATTCTTACTGGACCTCTAGGGAGAACAGTTTAGAACTGATAGAGCTATCCAGTATAAATAAAGTTAGTTTAGTTTAGGTTTCCTCCTGTAGTAACACTGGATCAATACGAGATGATCCTTACTGGACCTCTAGGAAGAACAGTTCAGAACTGATAGAGCTATCCAGTATAAATAAAATTAGTTTAGTTTAGGTTTCCTCCTGTAGTAACACTGGATCAATACGAGATGATTCTTACTAGACCTCTAGGAAGAACAGTTTAGAACTGATAGAGCTATCCAGTATAAATAAAGTTAGTTTAGTTTAGGTTTCCTCCTGTAGTAACACTGGATCAATAAGAGATGATCCTTACTGGACCTCTAGGAAGAACAGTTTAGAACTGATGAGCTATCTAGTATAAATAAAGTTAGTTTAGTTTAGGTTTCCTCCTGTAGTAACACTGGATCAATAAGAGATGATTCTTACTGGACCTCTAGGAAGAACAGTTTAGAACTGATAGAGCTATCCAGTATAAATAAAGTTAGTTTAGTTTAGGTTTCCTCCCGTAGTAACACTGGATCAATAAGAGATGATCCTTACTGGACCTCTAGGAAGAACAGTTTCGAACTGATAGAGCTATCCAGTATAAATAAAGTTAGTTTAGTTTAGGTTTCCTCCTGTAGTAACACTGGATCAATAAGAGATGATCCTTACTGGACCTCTAGGAAGAACAGTTTAGAACTGATAGAGCTAACCAGTATAAATAAAGTTAGTTTAG